CTGCAAGAGCAGCAAGTATTCCTAGGAGCTGAGCTATCTCTCCAGCTCTCAGTTTCTGTAAAATTCTTTTGTTTGTCTACACTTTGGTCCAAGAAACTTTCCTTCACCTTCCCAATTCTTAGTCAACATGATGTTTGATGTGCAATACAGACTCAGCAATTGTTGGATGAATGGGTGAATTAACCGACAGCTTCGAGCCTCCTGTTGTTGTATTACGTGCTCTTTAAAATCTCCACATATACTTCATTTTTCTTGCCAGGGTTGTAATTCACATGTTGCTTTCTCTACCCACTTGTGTAGATGCATAAGTTCTTCTCATACTTTTAAAATCCCATCTGGAAGTTTCTTCATCAGCTGGGAGCATTTGATGTCTTCTTAGCTTGGAAACCTTGTGTGTGTGTTTTTCTTCTGACACATTTAAAAAATATATGAAATAAGTGTCAGTCCTTGAGGATCTGAATTCTGTATTCCTCTCTATCTAGGGACATCCCCAATTGACCTTGACATTGAATAAATATTTTGACCTGGTTTGGAATTAGGATAAGTAGACAACCTATAAAACCCAATAGTACTATTGGTTAAAGTAATTACAAGTACCCATAGTAACCTTTAATTTAGAAGTATGATCACCATTTATCCCAAAGAACATTTGGCACATTAAGTGTTTTAATGTGCAATATCATTTGTCAGGAATGATTTTCTCTTCTCAAATGTTCTCTGAGCTCTCTACCCTGCCCCCTTTCTTTACACCGCCATAAAGTATTAATTTTGCTATGCTTACTGATCCTGTCCTTGCTTGCAGGTTTCAGAGGCTTGATATTTGGGGTACCGGTACTCATTAAGCATTCTGTCATTGCCTTAGGTAGGGATGACAAAGCATATGTTCAAAATCCAAAACACGTCTATACTTTTCAAAATCCCAAAGTCCTTGCAGCATCAAAGGGCTTATTCTAAGATATTCCTAGCCACCACCAAAGCAAAGGAAATGATATTTTTAAACTTTAACCTTCTTTGTTATAACTTAGGTACACCATTTCCCACCGAAATCCTGACAATGTCATTCTAAATAAAGAACCATGCTCAGGCTGCTGTAGAGGAACTTACATAATATGTGTTCCGATTACACTGTCTCACAGAGAGAATCTTCTGTGACCCTTCCTGAACATTAGTGCTGTTTGTATTTCTCCCAAGGGGCTGTGCATCCCTTATATTCATTATGTTCTTTATGTGATTTACATCTTTACGTGTTCTGCAATGTGATTTATATTGGTAAGTGCTGTTGTAAACCAGGGATATGAAAATCTCCAAGAACATCACAGGGGGAAAAAAACTGCATAGCATTTTTGATAAAATGTAAGGGATGATCCATTACTTTTTCTAAAATTATTTACTGCTTTCCATAGACATCCCAGTTCTTACACCCTAGTGGCTTCTAAGAGCAGATGAGCCTGGTGTGCTCAGAGTGCATGGCCGCAGGCTGTCTTCCATCTCTGCTCTTCTTGTACTGTCTTGTAAGAGGGTTGGCAGAGTATCTTTATCTCTGTTTCCACGAATGAAAAAGATACCAAAAGAATGGGTGATTTACTCATCTTGTAGTCCTGATGTCAGAGACCAAACTAGGACCCACGGAAGGTATGGGGCTGGGGGGTGGGGTGGAATTATAGAGGGTCAAGGAAACCACACTTGTCTTTTCTTGGTTCATTCAGGACCATGGGCGGTGGGTTGCTAGCTGCCTTAACTCTCCTGCCTACACTTTGGAAAGAACTTCATCTCCAAAGGCTGCATGGAGTAGTAGAGAACTTTTGTTTTCAGAAGAAAGGGAACTAAAAATACAATGGCATAAGCCATTTATTGACCCTAGCCGCATAGTCCCAGGCAAGGAGAGTATTGTGGAAGACACACACACACACACACACACACACACACACACACACACACACAAAACAAGTCAGTATTTGTAACAAGTTTAGACCTAAGTTTAGATCTCTGTTCTTTCACCAATCTCTTCCCCTTGTGCCAAGCATCTACTCATTTAACACAGGGTTAGTAATGACAAACTTCACCCAAAAGGGTGATGCTTACTAAGCGGCCAAGTAGAAGTGTTTTATAGGTTGTGTGACATATAAATACAGACTTTATTCTTGTGTAACAAAGAAAACCCTTCTGGAACAGGAAAGAATGTAACACTAACCAGCTATAAAAAACAGAATGTATCGATTTTGGTCTGAGCCTTCCCCAAAGATGCTTAGTGTCTTGGAACCTCCGCTTTCTCATTTTTGCAGAACTGAGATCATCACATTTATCAAATGTTCACAAATTTTGTGGAAGATACAACACATATGACATGCATGAACTAGGATAAATGTTCATGACTCTTGGTAGCTTTTTCTAAGAATATTTGTGAGTAATAATGTGTTTTTTTAAAAGCATGCCAGAATAGAGAATTACTTTCTTGTAGATTTCTTCATTATCTTAACATTTGTCCTAACAAAGAGATCACATTGTTATGTCAGTATTTACTACTACTGATGGCCTGTATTTAGACTCACCAGGCTTGTATAAATACCTTTATTCTGTTCTAGAATCCAGTCTAGAGAACAGCATTGCATGTAATTGTCACGTGTCCCCATTCTGCTCTAGTCTATGACAATTTATCAATATTTTTTTCCTTGTTTTACAAACTTGCACGGTCTCCTCGAAGACTGCCCATGTGGCATGTGGGATGCTTCCCAGGCTGCTCCTATGTGTTTTGCTTCTCGTTATTAGGTAAGGCTTATGGCTTCCTGGAGAGTACCCCAGAAGTGACACTTTTTGTGTCATAATGTATCCATGTGATGTCACTGATGATGTCAGCCTTCATCACTTAGTTAAGGTAGTGCTTGACAAATGTTGTTTGGTTTTTGGTTTCCATTGCATCCTAAGCAGTTTTAACCAGCCATCATTTACGTACATGGTTCCCCTACTCTGTCTGTGGTACTTTGCAATGAGAATTATTTCAAACGGCCATTATCCACAGACACATCCTTGCAGACTGTTCACACTAAAGCTATTTCCTACTCCAGCTGTTATTATATTTTACTTTTAATTTCATTCGTATTTTCATCACTGGGAACTGACTTGTGTCTATGTTTGCCTAGTTTATTGCTTGTCTATAAGTTTCCTGCCCCCCTAACCTGAAACTTCAGAAAATCAAAGGTCTGGTGGGATTACTCGTATCTGTACTCCTGGACTCTAATCCAATAACTTACGTATGCCATTTGTTGGAGAAATATCAAAGAAAGAAAAACAGACGATTGGTTAGCATTTATGAAATAGAAAAAGGTAGTTCAACAGTGAAAAGTTTTTAATTCAGTTTTTTTAATTCACTGGGTTTGTTTTAATGGAAAGCTAGACACAAACGATATCCCCGGGAAATAGGTTAACAGAATATTGATAATTCAAGCTTCCTGATAACGCGCCTAGTAATGTGTCAGAGTTTTTCGTGACTTATATGGGTGTGATGATTAGCTTTCATTATCATCTTGACACAGTCTTGATCCCTCTGGGAAGAAAGCCTCAATACGGGTATGTCTAGGCCAGCCTGGGAGCAAGTCTGTGGAGGTTGACTTGGTCATGTTAATTATATTGGAAAGGCCCGTCTACTGTGAGTAGCACCATTCCCTACAGAAATGACTTCTATGTCTCAGAGAGTGGGGGAAGTGAGCCCAGTGCTAGCATGCATGCCATTAGTTCAGCACTGTCTGCTTTGAACCATGGTGTCACGTGAGCATCTGTTTCATGTTTCTGTTGCCTTGACTTCCCTGTAATGATAGACAGACACCTGAAAATGTCAGCCCAATGAACCACGGTTCCCCTTTGCTTTTGTCAAGAGTATTTTATCTCAGCAACAGGAACCGAAACTAAGATAATGCATATACCGCTGACCAGGGATACCTCTCCACCATTGTGGCCTTTACCTATGAACCCTGTTCTGTGTTGTAGAACTTCAGAATCTGAAGGACTGTAGAGATCCCTGATGCCCTTGATAACTCCATCTCACGGCTTACAGCCTACTGTCTTTAGATTCATCCCATCTCACTTGCCCCAAGGAAGCATCTGGGTAATATGTCTTTCTTCTATAACCAATAGTAAGCATTTTTTAAAAAATCTTTTTAGGACTTAAAATCTCCAAGCCAGAGGGATGAAATCGCAGGGGCCCGGGCCACCTTGAAGGAGAACTCCCCCCTCCTGCATTCAATTTGTTCAGCGTGTTTGGAACATTCCGATGTCGCTTCGCTCAAAGCCAGTAAGGACACCGTCTGTGAAGAGATCCAGAATGCTCTTGATGTAATTTCAAATGCTTCCCAAGGCATCCAGAACGTGCCAGCACCTCCTGAACCTCAGGCAGCAACACTGGGAAGTGCTCTCGATGAGCTTGAGGTAAGCAGAGAAAGCCAACAATGTGACTAAATGTCTCAGTACGAGTAAGCAGACACAGACTTTCAGTTCCTACGGTGGAGTCTGGAGAACTTTGACTTTTATCACTAATCAATCTCAGTGACCTTCCTGGGTCTTCCAATGAATCGATTAATAGCAGGATTTCCTATCAGTATGCTTAGCCCTTCTCTCTGCTTAAGAAACCTTTCTATTAGAATTGCTTGCGATTCTAGTGAAGACTATATTTTACATAGACCAGCTTCTAAAGTGTAGGATCTATTTACTATACAATATTTATTATAGGCACCATTCTATGTGCTTAAGAATACATCTGGTCAGTGCCTTTGTCAAGGGTTTATATTTTAGCAGGAACACGAAGGCAAAAAGCATGCTAATCATTATAAATAACCAACTAATGTAGCGTGCTATAAAGGGGTGAAGTATCCTCAAAGATCCAAGGAGTTTAAGTCAAGATCAGATGGAGATCCAGAACATAGGCTCAAGGCTACTTATCCTGTGTTTGTGACAGCATAGAGGCCAGGAACCTGGTAGAGTCATCAAGGGGGGAAGTTCACAGCTCAGGTAAAGAGCCAATGGGATCCAGCTAGAACAGGCTGTGCCAGTGCTTCCTCTGAACAACTGGGACTCTTCACAAGGCTTTTTTAACACACTGAGGCTTATATCTTAAAGGAATGATGTTAGCACCACAGGAGCACAGGCTAAATGCAAATAAGGTGAGAAGCTGGGAATCAGGTGGGAGAGGCTATGGTTCAGAACCCAGAGTCACCAATTACCTTATGTGCATCACCCCACTCCATCTCATGTGGTCACGCCAGCAGCAGCAAGGCTCAGTTGTGTAGGTAGAAGTCAACTAGCTAATGATAGAATGGATATATTGGGCATGAACAAAGGGGAGGAGTCACAGCGGATGCTGCATGCTGAATCCTCTAGCAACACGGAATGGAGTTTATGGTCTCCGATGCTATTAGGAATTAATGTTCAGGAGGTAAAAAGACAGGATGACGTCTGCCTGGAAGACAGACCTACAAAGCTTGGGTCAACCAACAGTTGGTACTTAGAGAACATTGGTTTTCATAGTGTGCTTTATTAGGTTGAAATACACAGGCGCTTGCATCTCTCAGTTGCTTTATATAGGTCATCTTCCCAGTGAAGATCATGAACTATGGGGTCAGGAGGATTGATCTGTGTATCAAATTGTCCTCAATTTGATAGTGACTCCTACTTGGGAAGCAGGGGGTAGCTATCAGATATCTTGAATAGCACAAATAGTTAATTTTAAATTTTTAATCGAATAACTAGGTAGAAGAGGCTTTCATTAACCGTAGGAAGGCTATAGGCAAAGCTGGTCAGGAGAAGATGAGAAACTCAATTTTGAACAAGTTGAGGTATTTATCAGGCCTTCAAGCATGATGTTAAAGGGCACTAGTTATCCTAGTCCAACAAAGAGCTCCTTAGTGAGACGTAACACAGTATGGTGTTTCATTCCTGGATTTATATTCCAGCTGTGGCATTTGCTACATTTGTAACCTTGGCAACAATACTTATGAACCTATATGTTGTCTTATTTATAGGTGGCCAATGACAATACCAGGGCATCATCAGGTTAAATGAATTAATAATACAGGTTTGAATGTTTAGAGCAATGCATGGTAAATATTCAGTCTTGGCATTGTTATAGAGACTATTTGGAAGTCGATTTTTCCATAATGAAAAAAATATCTATAATTAACATCACTAAAGTTTTACTGGTAGCCAAAAAAACCCCACCCAACTCCACAACTTATATAATACCCATGGTGTTATTTTATCGAGTTCACAATAAATTCATTAGATAATACTTTCAAGTTTAAAATAGCTTGCTTTCCCTTTAATTAAATGTCTTTAATCAGACCCTTCATTTCTAATCCAATATCAGCTGCCAGATTATTATATGAATTCCATGTGAAATTGCATAAAATACCCAGTCATGTGCAGAGTTTAGGGACTCATTGTCTGATAAGGTTAAAAAAAATACCCTAATGGAAACTAATGATCCCCATCACCCAGTGTTCCTTCCCTATGATAAATGCACACTAGTCTTGTGTATTATATGCATATCTTGATGTCTGATCTTTATAAAACTGAAGATCTCATTTTTTAAGACCAGTCATAGCTATGAAAAGAAAGCAGCTAGATACCAGTAAAGTGTTAGACCCTAAATCAATACAATATAAAACCTGAAGACCAAAATAAATGGGAAACTTGATCATAGCTTGAAACAATTGATTATAGCTGATCAGCTATTTTCTACCAAGTAGGGGAAATGTTTTGATCTCCAGTAATCACATGAATGTTCATTCACTGGAGGAGGGAATCATGGGAGACTCCAGTCTTGTGGATCCTGTTTTCATCCCTTCCAAACACCGTCCTTTCCAAATTCTATCTGCCTTCTTCTGACACCTTGTCACTCCGGTCACCTTCTGTCCTCAATGCTACTACTGATCTCCAGAAAGCAGTCTGTAAGTCACACACCTGCTCTCAAAGGGATTTTCTCTTAGCAACCAGAAGCTGTGGCCTGCAAAATCACCTCTGTGATCCAGCTTTGGGAATCTCTTTGATTCCTGCTCCGGTCTGCCTGCTCCCGCCTTCACTCCCTTGGAGGTCAGACTCCTTTAACTAATGGACTTTGGTGCTGATTAGGGAAAGTTTAGTTGGAGGCCTTCAGCCTGGACTGCGGTGTTTTAAGGTTTCACAGGTTTCCTTCAATGTCCCCCCATCCCCCGTGCTTGGGTTTATAGTGACCTAGACCGTGTGTGATTCTTCTTCTTAGGAAGGCTGCTTTCTTAGCATCCTTCAAAAATAAAGGATAGTGGAAAAAAACCTGTTGAACAAGGTCTTGGTTTCTCTTGCAACATAGTAGCTTAACCTGTCTGCTTTGATGTGCAGCTTTGTAGAGGTCAGCTCTGCAGATGGCAAGCTTGCCCACTGTGGGAAGTCGGGGCATTTGCAGACAAATGGTAACTTGCTATTAATATGCACATCCTAGGCCAGCTGTGCAGAGGCATTGGTTTAATATGCTGCAGCAGTGGACATAGAAAATCACTTAGATAGAGGACTTGAGTCTAGTAGCTAGAAAGGGGCTTTTAGAGAGATAGCAACAGTTGAATGTTGTTTTAAAAACCATTTGTTGTAGACAATGGAAAGGTTGTCTGCTCTCTTCATGTCTGCTTTCCTTCCAGATAGTTGTATCTAAAAGAAAGCAGTTATAGTCCACTCCCCTGTTAAAATAAAAATGGAGGGGAGGCTACTTATGTTTGCTCTTAAATACATACAAAATTTATATAAAGTACCTTCTATGAAAATGATTAAGAACCTGTAGATATTACTTGGCACATATTATTGTATATAAAAATCTCATCCTCTGGGTTGATTTTTTTTTAAAAAATTTTCTCCAAATAAACCCAATTTTTAAAAATAAAATAAAATATAAAATATTTCTGGTTGACTAAACTGTTTTCAAGACTTACTTTTATGTATTTATGTCTTAAGTATGTATTTTATTTAGCTCTGTGTGTGAGAGAAGGGACATACATGTGTGAATGCATGAATGGAGGCCAGAAGAGCGCATTAGGCAAAGACACTATCGTTCTTCATCTGATCCTTTGAGGGAGAAGCTCTCCTCAAACCTGGAACTCTTATTTTCATGGCTAGACTTGAAATCAGTAGCCCTCATTGATTTTGTCTCTGTCCCCATTGGGGCTGGGGATACTGGTGTATGTTAGATGCCTGGCTTGTTAAGTAAGTGCTAGGATTTGAACTCTGGTCCTTATACTTACACAGCCATGCCATTTCTCCAGACCCTTCAGCTAAACGTTTTACAGGAATTATTCACTTGGTTATTACATTTGTCGCCATTGAAAACTGAATTTTTTCTTTACTGAAAAAAGAACAAAAAACAAAACTGTGACCTAAGTTGTATCTATTGCAAACTAGGAAGGTAGTGGATTGGAGCAGGCAGGGTATGTGTCTAATCTCTCTGATTCCAGAAGAATTTGTGACTGTATGCATCTTGAGTTTTCCTAGCTAGAACTTAACGCACTCAATTAAAATTTGGTATAATGTATGACAAGGTTCTTAGTTTGAATGATTCATCAGAGAAGTTATAAATGTAACCAAGTCTTTCTGGTGGAATAAATGCTGCCCATGGATCATTAAGTAAAAATAGTCTGTATTTGGGAACTGCTTCTTGTAATGGGATGGAAGTTTCCAGAGGCCTGGGCAGGTGGAATTGTAAAGTTCATTTTCCAAAGTGTTAAACTGATTTCTTTCCAGAGATGTTCCCACAAACAGCCTCATTTATTCTGAAAGTTTTCCAGGTCGATTCTCCACTGGGACACCCTTGGTCTCTCAGTTTCGTTGGAGGCTAGTATGATAGGCAAGCCATAGCAGAGATTGGAGAAGAGAGAGCACAGGGCCTTTTCAAGAATGGAAGACCTCTTTTGTTTTATTGGATATTTTATTTATTTACATTTCAAACATTATCCTCTTTCCCAGTTTCCCCTCCACAAACACTCTTTCCCCTCCCCCCTGTTTCTATGAGGGTGCTCCCTCACCCACCCACCCACCCACTCTCACCTCACCGCCCTGGCATTTCCCTACACTGGGTCATTGATCCTCCACAGGACCAAGAACCTCTCCTCTCATTGATGCCTGACAAGGTCATCCTCTGCTACATATACAGCTGGAGCCATGGGGTTAGTGGTTTAGTCCCTGGGAGCTCTGGGGGTGGGTGGGGGTCTGTTTGGTTGATACTGTTGTGTTCCCTATGGGGTTGCAAACCTCTTCAGCTTCTTCAGTTCTAAACAAGCAGGCAGAAGACCTAAAATACTTTCCCAAGATCCTAATGCTGTCTTAACAACTTCCGAATTTTAGCTGCAGTCCAAGATAGGGCTTCAGAACAAAATGCCTGAAAGAAAGTACATCCAAGTTACAAATAATTGCCAAAGCTGCCCGAACTAGATAAAACAGAATTTACCGAACATTTAACCTTTTAACAATAATTTTGTGAGTTAAATGGTTGTACTTTATATTATTTACAGGGAGCTATATTGGTAGAGGATCTGAAATAACCTTTGCTCTATTTTGCTCCTACAAATATACTACTATGAAATAAATGGATGCAGTAAATACTCTGCCGGGAGCCAGACTCATTAAATGTTTATAGTGTGAAAATGTATTAGAACACTTCCCCAACAGCTACCAAGCTAAAACTTCTGCTAAATCTTTTATTCTGGGCCATGGCTGGTCATGGGTCTGAAACTTGAGATTTATTGGTGGGGGAAAAATAGAAATTGAATTAGAACACTGTACACTGTAAATTGATTGACTTATTGGAAAGGCGAGTGTGAATTATGGAGTGTTGTTTCTATGTTTGTGACTGAATTGAGAGTAAAGAAGTGTCACATTGTAGATTAATAGAATCTTGAAAGTGTCATTAAGCAGGAAACTTTGTCAGTAAAAGTTGCCTTGAAAACTTGAAGTCTAGTAATGCACACATACCTTCCTGTAGATGGTAAAAGACAACCGTTGTAATCATAATAGGAATTATTCTCATATGTCTTTTAGGCTGATGATATTGAAGGATATGTGTGTAGTTATTTTATTTTCAGAGATGCTCTATTTTCTTTTATATATTACTTTATATATAGTTTTATACTTTTTATTGACAATCATA